CTTCCGACAGGCATCACCGGAAACAGCCCGGAAAGGGGTCCTCCGACCACGTGGGCCTGAGGACTAGGACTTGGGTTTAGAGGTGTGGGGCATCCCGCTATTAGCTCGTGAAGTCCACCCCGGTGTCCTGTTGTGTGTTTGGTGCCAGGAGCCCTGCCCGATGCCAAAATCTGAGGATCCTCAAGTCCCTTATATGAAATGGCGTAGCATTTGAGTATAACCTACGCACATCCTCCTGTAATACTTTGCTTACTTGTAATTAGGTATTAGTTGTTATACCTAATAAAATGCATTAAGTAAATAGTTGTAAATACACTGCGAATAATATGTACATAGTTGCTGGTGCACGCAAATTCAAGCTTTGCTTTTCGGAGCTTTGGAATTTTTTTTTTTTTTTTTAATATTTCTACCTGGGGTTGGTCGAACTTGCGGTGCGGAACCGCAGATACGGAGGGCTGATTACTGTACATGGTGTTTTATCCAACAGCAGTTGGCGGGAAGATGCTTCGATACTGAAGGGTACGCATAAAAAGAATGTAGATTGCAGTCTTCGTAAAAAGGGAAACAGTACATTCGTCTCTGCAAAAAAATACTCGGGAAAAATAAAAGTGTATGCGGGACTGTAATTAAGGGGATGGATTGAAAGTGAAATTTTTCTCTGTGTACTTTCTTTAAATTTTAACTTCTCTGTAGGATTGTGTTGCCTTTTTTTAGATTATATGAATTTTTAAGCGTGCCGGGTGGGAAGTTTCTGTCCTCAACTACTACCTTCCCTCATTCCCCTTCCTTGAGGCAAGGGCTGTAATGATTTCTTGTTTAACCTTGCAGTTATTCCATACATCTACCCTACAAATACAAATGTGTATGTGTGTGTAGGATACACTCCATATGAATTTAAATGATTACTTATATCAACTAAATGATAGTTTATTGTTTGCTTTGCACCAGACGTTATTCTAAAACTTTACATGAAAGGTCATATTTTATCTCCATTATACTTCTGCGAATTTGATACTATTTTTATCTTATAAATGATGTTACTATGTTAACAGAGTAATTGACTTGCCTAAGGTCATATGCAGCTATTACAAGATGAAGCTGTAATCTAAATGTGTTGTCTTCATCGCCATGCTATTATCATCATATATATATTGAAATTTCTTTTGGGAATTCGCTATGCTTTTTGCACATCTTACTATAAAGTTTTCATCTTTCTCATTCAATTCTAGTAATCCTTATCACTTAAAAATTAACATTTTCTCATTTTTTACCATTTTTTAAAATAATTTTTGAAATGCAGACATTGTTAATGGGAATTTGTTTGTTTGTTTTTGGTGGAATGGACATGTCCTGTTTATTAACACAGTCAGTCCCTTATGGGCTATTTCGGTTCTTTCTATTATAAATAGCATTGTGATGAAAGTCTTCGTAAGCTCTTATCAGTATGTAAGATCATTTCCTTTTGATATACAGATGGGCAACAGGCACATGAAAAGATGTCATCAGGGAAATGCAAATTAAAACCACAATAAGATATCACCACACACCTGTCAGAATGGCTATACAAAAAAGAAAAAAGGGACTTCCCTGGTGGCGCAGTGGTTAAGAATCCACCCGCCAATGCAGGGGACACAGGTTCGAGCCCTGGTCCGGGGAGAACCCACATGTCACGGAGCAACTAAGCCCGTGCGCCACAACTACTGAGCCTGTGCTCTAGAGCCCACCAGCCACAACTACTGAGCCCACGTGCCTAGAGCCCTTGCTCTGCAACAAGAGAAGCCAGCACAATGAGAAGGCAGCACACCGCAGCAAGGAGTAGCCCCCGCTCGCCGCAACTAGAGAAAGCCTGCACAGCAACAAAGACCCAACGCAGCCAAAAATAAATAAGTAAATTAAAAAAAAAAAAAAGACGAGATAACAGGTGTTGGTGAGGATATGGAGAAAAGTGAACCTCCTATGCTGGTGGTGGGAATGTAAATTGGTGGAGTCACTATGGAGAACACTATGGAGAACACTATCAAAAATTAAAAACAGAACTAGCATACAATCCAGCAATTCCAGTCCTGGGTATTTATCCAAAGAAAACAAAAACACAAATTTGAAAAGATACATGCACCCCAATGTTCATAGCAGCACTAGTTACAATAGCCAAAATATGGAAGCAACCTAAGTGTCCATCAACAGATGAATGGATAAAGAAGATGTGGTATATAGATGCAATGGCATACTACTCAGCCATAAAAAAAGAATAAATTTTACCAAATGTGACAACATTGGTTGACCTGGAGGGTACTATGCTCAGTGAAATAAGTCAGGCAAAGAAAGACAAATACTATATGATATCACTTATATGTGGAATCTAAAAAATAAAACAAATGATCAAACATAGCAAGGCAGAAACAGACAAACAGACACAGATACAGAGAACCAACTGGTGGTTGCCAGGGAGGAGAGAGGTGGAGGGAGGGCCAAAATGGATAAGGGGATTAAGAGGTACAAACTACAAGATATGGAATAGGTAAGTTAAAACTAAATAAATAGATAAGTTACCAGGGATGTAATGTACAGCACAGTGAAAAAGCCAATATTTTATAATAACTATACAGAGTATAACCTATTAAAATGTCAAATTACCAAATTGTACACCTGAAATTAATACAATGTTGTAAGTCAACTATACTTCAATTAAAGTTAGAAAAATGATAATAAGATCATTCTTTTGATAAGTCCTGTTTTTAAAGTTCTTGACATATTTTGCCAAATCCCTCTGCAAAGAGCTTGATTTCATTTTCATTCCCCTGCCCACCGGGGCCTGAAGGAGCCAGCTTGGCTGCTCTCTCCCCAGTGTGAATATTAACACTGTAGACATTCTGGGCTAATTTAAGGGTGAAATTATACCTTATTTAATAATACTGCAGACAAGGTCATGGGTGGTGCATGTCTGCAAGGTTCCTTGAAGGGCAAGAGGGGAGAAACAGAAATCTGGTTGGGAGCTGTGGCCTGCAGTCTGAGAACAGGAGAAGGGGTTAGGGAGTCAGTGCAGAGAGAGAAAAAAGAGATGGGCCTTGGGCTGTGTAAGCAGGAGATTTTAATTTATAGAGCTGGCGTAATGACAGCTAGAGAGGCCAGTGCCATTGACAGAATTTATTTCTTGCGTCTCCTGAGAAGGCAGGGCGCACCGTGCCAGGCAGGGCCACACGGGGAAGCACCAGGTTTGGTCAGGAAGGAGGAGCAGGAGTGAGGGAAAGCCAAGCCAGAGCCTGTGTCCTTGTGTCCCTCTGGCCGTGGGCAGGGCGGGGCGGGGCGGGGCAGGGCGATGAGCTCAGGACTGGCCAATGTGAATGCTTCTGGTGGACTTCAGGCTATAGGAGTGGTCTCAAGTTGCCTGGTACCTCGCCTTGGCATGATTTAGGGGAGGGGACATATTGGCTTGGTGTGTGAGAGTCAGGTAAGGAGATGCTCCAGGCTGAGCCCTTTGCTGTCTCTAACAATTGGCTAGCACTGGGAGGAACAGTCTCTCTGCAGCCAGCAAGCTTTTTTTTTCTTTATTGAAGTGTAGTTGATTTACAATATTGTGTTAGTTTTTGGTGTATAGCAAAGTGATCCATATATATATATATATTCTTTTCCATTATGGTTTATTGCAGGATATTGAATAGAGTTCCCTGTGCTCTACAGTAGGACCTTGTTGTTTATCCATTCTAGATATAATAGTTTGCACCTGCTAACCCCAAAACTCCAGCAAGCTTTTTAAGGTGTCAAAACATCAGAAAATACAAACATGATTAACACAGGCTGGGAAGAGGGCACCAGGATTCAGACTGCAGGACCCAGGACACCATGACCCACAGCCCCACTGAAGGCAGGAACGGATCCTGGGATGAAGGAGGGCACTGGTGAGTCAGTCCATGGGTTTTCAGAGGGAACCTGGACCCTCTAGGCAGGCCCCACTCTCCACTCTCCCCACCCCCATCCCCCCGGCGGTCCACCTAGCTTTGCCAGGGGCACTGCCACACTCGGGGTCTGGATTTGGGGCTGTGCATGATGTTAAACCCAGCACAGAGCAGGATGTGGCCCAGGTGACAGTCATCTACAGGACAGAGGAAAAAATGTCCCTCCCAGCCTCAGGTGATATGGCCCTAAATGGTCTGCAGACTGAATTTTTAGTTTGTCAGATGACATGCATTGAGGCTCCACTGTTGAGCCGGGTGACACAGATGAGAACTGCTCCCCACTTCTTCCCCTAAAATTGTCCCTTTCAGTTCCATGCCCAGAAGCCCTGTGCCTGAGCAAGGGGCAGCAGGGCAGGGCCAAGCAGGCTGACTCTGGTAGCTGGGCCCACGTCCCAGGGGTGGCATGTTGGACGGCCCTGCAGGGACCAGGCAGAACGATGGAAAGTGGGGAGAGCAGGGGAGGAGGAAGGTGCTGGGCAGGCACCTCGGCCCCTGCCGGTGTTCACTGGCTCCCCTCTCAGGACCGCCCCGCAGAGCCCTCTCCTCCCAAGGCCCAGCTGCCTGGACACTCAGCACATCCCTCCTCGCCCAGCAGCTGGTCCCGCTCTGCCGCCAGCCCCACCTCAAATCCCAGCCAGCAGCCCTTGCCATGCTGGGCCCCCAGCCCATAGGTGGTGATGGTGGCACCATGGGAAAGACATGCCACTAATTCTGTCCCAGCAGATATGGGAGGGCAGTGGGGGAAAAGGAAGGGAGAGACCTGCGGTGAGCACACTCAACCGTCCAATCAGGGGTCTGCGGTAGTGCCTGGAGGCATGTGGGTTGTTAAGTGCCCAGGTGGGGAGGGCTGGGGTGGCCCTGGCAACGCGTGCTGGGGAAAGGATGCAGAGGCAGTGTGTACGGGACGGTCCAGCTCAGTGAGAGCCGTCCCACCCAAGCAGCCTCCCCGCCTACATACAAAATCAGAAAGAAGCAAGAAAGGAACGGAGGGAGGGAGGGAGGGAGGGTGGAAGGACAAACAGGCGACACTAGCCTGTCACCTGGGGCATGCAGAAGGCCAGCTGCCAGTCTGATCGTTAGTAGTGTTGCTGCTGCCACTAAAGAGTGCAGACTCCCCCACCCCTACCCCAGGAGACTTAACAATCATTTCACCCAAAGTCTTCTTCATGGCTGAGAAGTCTGAGGCCCCACCTGAGAAGAGGACAATCTCCCCAGGCACATGGCTGGGGGGTTTCTGGACTCTCTGACCAGGATGCCACATCAGCTCCCGTGACCACCTGCCCAGGTCCCAGAGTGACCCTTGGGCCCTGGGCAGCCGAGGAACAGCAGAATAAGATGGTCCCCAGCAGGGCCAAAGCATATGTCACTGGAAGGTGCTGTGAATGACCCAGACTCAGAAGCGGGGAAATGAAACAGGTCCTGTCTGGGCTGCGGTGCGATCCGGGGGCTGAGACCCTGTCCCCAGTTAAGGGCTGACTTCTGTGGTCTGGTGAAGGCCATGGAGAGGGTGGCGGCCTGGTAGCCTTCTGTGAACATCCAGGAGCTCCTGCAGCACCTGGCCCTAACAGGCCAAGACAGGTCCAGGACCAATCAGAGTATTTTCCTCAGAAAACCATTTCAGGCTGCACCAAATATGGTAACTGTATTCGTTTCCTAGGGTGCCACTACAAATGATCACAAACTGAATGGCTTAAAACAGAAATGTCTTCTCTCACAGTTCTGGAGGCTAGAAATCCAAGTTCCAGATGTTGCTAGGGCCATGCTCTTGAAGGCTCTAGGGAAGAAACCTCCTTTACCTCTTCCCAGATTCCTGTGGTTGCCAGCAATCCTTGGCGTTCCTTAGCTTCCAACAGCATCACTCCAACCTCTGCCTCTGTCCTCACGCGGCATTCTCCCTGTGTGTGTGTGTGTGTGTGTGTGTGTGTGTGTCCCCAAATGTCCTTCTTACTATAATGCCATTAGTCATTTGATTAGGGTCCAACTTTCTCCAGCACAACCTCATCTGAACTTGATTACATCTGCAAAGACCCTGCTCGCATCACAGGTACTGGGGTAAAGACTTGAACATATCTTTTGCGGGGGACGCATTTCAACCCAGTTCAGAGATCAGTTCCCCATATCTCTACTCCTGATACTCAAAGTGTAATCCTCGGAGCATCAGCCTCACCTGGGAGCTTGTGAGAGACACAAAACCTAGCACCCTGCCCCCGACCTAGGAATCAGAATCGGCAGTCCCTATGCTTTCAATTTTGAGACGCCTTGGGTCACCACCTTTGATTCTTTGGGGGCCAGAAATTCCTGGAGGGTACTGAGAAGATTCGAGAGGGGACTCTCCCAGAAAAGAATTGCCAGTTTGCCTTCTTCCCATCTTTGCTCCTCCCCTCCACTCCCCATAGGAACTAAGAGATAAGTCAGGGATTCAAGCCTGGGAAAGAGAGGGTTGTTCATACACACACCCAAGGCAGGGGCCTTCAGGGAACCATAGAACTTGGTCTGTATCCTCTTGGTCAGTCCCCCTCTGGGGGACACAGAGACCAGTATCTGACTCATACATCAAATATCTAACTTTGAGAACAGCCAAGATGCCTGCCCTGCAACAATGCAAAGAGGAAAAAGCATCTCCTACAACAGAGACAAGAGAAGATGAGGTCCTCACTAAAGGATGAGATCAGTGTACAAAGGCCCTTCCAAGGCGAGCACCTGGCCACAGAGCTGACCTCAGCGGACGGGTGGAACCACGGGCAGGCAGGCTGCCGAAATACTGAGCACCAGGCCGAGGGAACACCTCCAAAGGTCAGCAACCCTGGACATGCCCTGCAGCACCGGCCAAACAAGCAGCCCCTTCCGCCCTCTGGCCGCGCTGAGTTGCGCGGCGCCCCAGGCCCCGCCCCCACACCGCGCTCCAAGCCCCGCCCCAGGCCCCTGCCGTCACTTCCGCTTTGGGGAAGCAGAGGGTTCGGCCTTTCTGGGAGTGCCGCGTGGGTCCCTTTCGCCTGCGAGCTGGCGACATGGCGGCCTTCACTGGCCCGGCCAAGCCGCTCCTGTCCCTGAACCCGCAGGAGGATACCAAGTTTAAGAAGGAGGTGGCACAGGTTCGCCGGCGCGCAAGCAAGGTGAGCGGCCAGCGTGGCCCGGGCCGCGAGGGGAGGCGAGGGACGGGGTCTGGGGTTCCTGCCCGGCGCGCCTCGGCCTCCCCATGCCTGTGCTTCGTCTGGGGTCACCCCGGGCGGGCCCGGTCCTCACGAGGTAGGAGGCCGAGGTTTCCCTGGGAGGACCGAGAAAAGACGCGGTTGGGCCGTGGGCCTTAGGGTCCTCCGGGGGGTAAGGGGTGGGTATGGGGGAGGGGTGCACGAGGAGAGGAGAGGAGAGCCAGCTGCTGGGTCGGCCCTCGTCCCGCTCGCCGATCAGCCTCACCCCGGAGCCGTCCTGCTTCCGCTTTGCCCCTGAACTGGGGAGGTTCGTTTGCCCGGTTAGTGTTTTTGGAATTCTTAAAAAACAGTATTTGCCAAGCTCCATTTGCTGCCTAGGAGTTGGCACTCCGGGCTGGGAGTGGGAGGCTGAGAAGACCGCCTACTGCTTGATGGTTGTCCTCTTGGGGAGATAGACATTACACAGCCAATTTTTTTTTAAACCTTTATTTTTGTTGAGGTATAGTTGATTTACAGTGTTGTGTTAATTTCCGCTGTACAGCGAAGTGATTCAGTTATATGTATATGTGTATGTGTGTATATACATATATATATTCTTTTCCATATTTTTTCCACTATGGTTTATCACAGGATATTGAATGCAGTTCCCTGTGCTATACAGGAGGACCTTGTTTATCCATTCTCTATATAATAGTTTGCATCTGCTAACCCCACCCTCCCAATCCATCCCTCCCCCACCCTTGGCAACCATTAGTCTGTTTTCTATGTCTAAACAGCTAATTCTTTAGTGTGTTATGGTAAGTGGAAATACAGAGTAGGTTCTTGACCTCTTGTCTTAGACTGAGAGCAAGGAGTTTCACAAGTTTTGTTGCATTGTGACTTCTTATTACAAAGAAAGTATTTGCCTGGTCTTTGTGTCTTCAGCTACAGGAGAAACAAAAACTGACTCCTGGAGTGATCTATGTGGGCCACTTACCTCCGTCGCTTTATGAAACCCAGATCCGAGCATATTTCTCCCAGTTTGGCACTGTTACAAGATTCAGACTGTCCAGGAGTACCAAGGTAGGATTTTTGTATTGAATTAGATTGTTCTATTTTCCAAAAGTGTATCATCCTTGACAGTTTATGGAGCATATTTGCATGTTATCACTTATTACTCTTCATTCCAGAAAGGGGTTGGATAAGGTTTAGAACCTGAAGCAGCCATGAGAGCAAAATCAGTATTCCTGTAAATGTTTGCTTTGCTTTTTAAGAAAAAAAAAGGTAATTGCTTCAAGTCCTCAAACTAAATTGACAATCCCAATAAATGAGTCCTGTTTGTCTTGTGACTGCTAAGCCAGGGGTATGTGAACTTCAGTTTGAGGAGCAGGTTCATACATCTTGTATCAGCCTCTGATATGTAGCATCACTGTGACAGCAAAGGTTTGTATGGTGGGTAGTTGGGTAAGGACACTGGAGCCAGACTACCTAGGTATGAGGCCTGTCTCTACATGTTATTGGTTGTGTGACTAGGGACAAATTCTGTAACCTCTCCATGCTTCTGTCTTCTGATTTTCATATTTGTAAGATACAACCTCCTAGGAGTATCTAATCGAAGATGAATATGGTAATAAGTGTAAGATTCTTAGAACACCTGACACACAAAGTACTATATAAACGTTATTGTTGTATCATACCTACATCCTAATAAAGAAAGGTTTATGTGGTTTGTTTCATTAATAGAGTGGCCCACTTTATTTTCTTCCCACACATACACTTTATTGGTTGTAACAGTAGAGTTCTTGTTATTGGAATCTCTTTTTTTCTTAATACGGTTCTTCCACATTTTCCCACTTGAGTTACAGCAAATCAGAGTTAACTATTTGTTGTCACTGCTTTGTTCCTTTGCTTGAATATACTACGGTTTATTTATCCACTCTCCTGTTGAAACCTAGGTTTTTTCCAGTCTTGTAGGTGAAGCTGTTAGGAACATTCTTGGTGCAGGTGTAGGCAACTTTCTCTAGAACAGTATTTTTCAGACCTTCAGTACACAATAAGAAATCCACAAGGCAACACACATGTACGTGTACATAAACATAAATGAAAAACAAGTCCCAGGAGATGATACTTAACCTTTCTATTCAGTTTTGCAACAATACTTTTCTGACCTACTAAATTCATTTTGTTGCCCTCTAAAAGGTCAGACTCTGAGTTTGAAAAATAGAGCTTTACAGCCTATCCTCAGGATGACTGAGTGCAGAATGAGTTTCTCCATATTGAGTATAGCTGTTCCCCAGCTTTGTATTCTGAAAATGTTCGGGTCTACAGGGAAGTAGAAAGAATGGTGTAATGAACATCCCTCCCCTGGATTCACCCGTTATTAATATCCTGACACATTAGCTTCATCTCTTCCTGTATCTAGAAAAAGGTACACACCTCTTTGTTTTGTTGAACCTTTTGAAGCAAGTGGCAGTTGTAATGCCACTAAATACATAATCATCAATTTAAGAATGAGAACATTCTGCCATGTAATCCCAGTGTAAAAATCTCATTTACTGTCCATCATCACATATCCCTGTGGTCCCTGCCCACCCTGGGATCCAGTTAGGGTTCGTGCATTGCACGTGCTTGTTTAGCTCTTCATCCTATCTCAAACGGTCTCTTTACTCCTGTTTTGCTTGTTTGGTTTTTCTTGACATAGGCTTTTTTGGAGAGTTTAGGCCAGTTGTCTTGGAAAGCGTGCTCCTTGCTGAGATGCACTGAAATGCATCATTTCCAGCTTTGTTGCATAGTAGTAAAGCTACCGCCTCCCCACACACCCTGGTTTTGACTATTTGCTTGGTATTGCCAGCATTCTGGGATTACTAGGTCGAGGTGTTGGCTTTTAAGTTTTTGGTTTTTTGGACACCTGATATGTATTTTTACATCAGGTTTCAAAAGATTTATTAGTTCACAGTGTGGTACATTGAGCTAGATTTCACAGTGTTTTACACTCCACCATCCTTCCCCTCCTGAGTTGGGATTGTAAAAGGCCTGTCAGATTTTTAAAGTTTTACCAGAATCGTCCTGTTGCAGATAACTGAACTGAGACTCTGGGTTGTGGCCGTGTCCGAGTTGTTAGTCGCTGGCGCAGGTGGTGCTAGGAGTGAGCCTCGTGGCCTCCAACTCTCTTGAGCCACACACCCTTTAAATGGTTTCTCATTTCCAGGATCACATGACCAGTTCTGAGCCATACCTGAGAATATGTTGTTTAATGCAAGATTGTAAAGTATTTCTAGTCGTTGTCGCTAAGAACTGGATATGTAGTGGGGAAAAGTTCTTTTTCTACTGCCCTCCTAAGGTCCCTGGCTGGCACCCTGTAAACTGGACTGCAAAAAGGGATTGACAAGACCAAAACAAACACCTAAAATGTATGCTTACACATGGGACTGCTCGGAGAGGAATAACTCAAAGGGTTGCTTAGAACTTGGGCCTATACAGAATCTTGGCAAAGGAGCAAAACATTTTTGGAGGAGCGACAAGACGAAGGAGAAGTGCTTTGAGTTTTTAGGGCTGCAAATTGTGGGAAGGCAAATTATGGGAGACTAATGATGGATAAGGTCTACTTTGTAAAGTTTATTGTGTAGAGTCCTCTAACTTCTGTCTTTCTGGTAGAGGGAGGAAGACACCTTTGTAAATTCGTGTCCTGTTTTTAGGTAAATAAGGGGAGGACAGAGAGTTTTTCTTTTATCTATTTCTCAATTCCTTCATCTCAAAATAATCCTATGCCAAAGGAGCGGATGTTGGGCAGGCATACCCTGCCACCCTGCAGTAACATGTTTTGAGTACTTGACAGACATCTTGTGGAGCGCTTACGGATTATTTCATATTTTCCTAGCAACCCTGTGAGAGTGGTTATAGAAGGAAAAACTGAGGCTTGAACATTCCTTACCCGATTAAGTGTCAGAGCCAGGGTCCAAGCCTGGGCATTCGGACTCTAGAACTCTTGTTACCGAGCTCAGTGAGAAAAATCCACTGTATGTTGCAGTGCGGAGGCCAAGAACTCCGGATGTCCATGTCAGAGGATGTCCTTTGCCCCCAGCCCTGGAGAAGCCCAGTCACTAGTAAACATGACAGTGAATCAGTATTTTATTGATTAACTTTAGAGACACTGAGGAGTTCATTTCTTTTCAGTTTTTCCATATAAAATGGGAATTATATCACCTGCATTCTTTGTGAAGTATTATACCATCTCCTGGGTAGTATTAATAAATACATGGATGATGTGACCACCCATGAGATCAATAACGAGTAAAGGGCTGGGGGGCCTCCCACATTTCCTTTATGGTGGGCTGTTGCTATTGGATGAATTCCAACTCCAGTAATGTATTCATCATACATAATCAAAGTCCCAGGAATACCTCAAAATCAGTGGCAAGTTCAGACTATTCTGAACTTTTCTTTCGCCATAACAGTCCCCGGACTATGTGATTTGAAGTTGGAATCAAAGGCGTCTTAATGTTATTCAGTGAGGGGGCTAATGTACATTATTTAAGCTAATGACATTTTAGGAGTTTGATGGCACATCAGAATTTAATTGTTCTGCTTTCTGTGGTGGGTTTTCCATTGCAGACTGGAAATAGCAAAGGCTATGGCTTTGTGGAGTTTGAATCTGAAGATGTTGCCAAAATAGCTGCTGAAACGATGAACAACTACCTTTTTGGCGAAAGACTCTTGAAGTGTGAGTACCCGTCTTACCTGTGGGGCTGCGGGGACGCCTCCCGCTGACGGGAGGGAAGGACGGGTTGCTTAACTGCTTGGATCCCCGCCCCCCTCACCCCTGGGGTGATTCTCTTAAGCAGTGGTGCAAGGGTTTAAGTGCATTTTCCAGACAGGGTCTAATGGGAACTTCTAAATCTTCCAGAGTGAGAGCTGCTTTAGGCTGAGATGGGGTTGGTTAGGTTCCTTGAGTAAATAGGAAGAGCTTCCTAGCAGGATGTGGAAGGGCTCCCTGAGAAGGAATCACTGAAGTTGAAACCTGAGAATTACGTAACAGTGAGCCAGGTGAAGGGGTGGGAGTGAGGATTTGCTGAGGGGACAGCAGCTGCAGAGCCAAACTGACTGACCGTATTCACCTGCGAGGAGAATCACAAGAGGTGCAGGAGGAGGACAAGAGGAAGGGAGGTCAGGTTACTGGAGGCCTTGTAAAGCGGGAGTCCAGAGTGTACCCCAAGGACAGCGGGACCCACTGATGGGTTCTAGACCGGACGACCTTCAGCGTGAGGAGTCACGTTTCAGTCGGCCCGCATGGCAGTGGCTGCAGCACCTCCACGAGAGAAGCCATCGGGAGTGGCGGGATGGCTGCTGATTAGAAGTTCACCCTGCAGGGGTAGGGCCACCAGTGACTAGCCTCCCAGAGCAGCGCCCTCGGGAGGTGGGGCCGAGCTTCTGGCCGCCCTGTGCTCGGGCTGGAGGGCACCCATCGCATTCCCAAGTAGCACCCCTCTACTTTGGCTCCTGTTGCTAAGAGAGTCCCAGTAACTCCTGAGGTCCTGCGTTCGTTCACACATTAAAAACGCGGCTCTTGGGCTTCCCTGGTGGCGCAGTGGTTGAGAGTCCGCCTGCTGATGCAGGGGACACGGGTTCGTGCCCCAGTCCGGGAAGATCCCACATGCCGCGGAGCGGCTGGACCCGTGAGCCATGGCCGCAGAGCCTGCGTGTCCGGAGCCTGTGCTCCGCAATGGGAGAGGCCACAACAGTGAGAGGCCCACGTACCGCAAAACAAAAAACAAAAACGCGGCTCTTGCCGGGACGAAATGGGCTGAGTGGGTAACCACGTGTATCAGATCAGTGCTGTGCTGTATCTGACTTTTGAAAGATGGCACAAAGGGCTTTGAACTCGGATACGAGTGAGATTAGCCACGTCATCACCGGTTGTTTGTTTCTTTTTCAATTTTTTGGCTGCACTGCTCAGCATGCGGATCTTAGTTCCCCGACCAGGGATCGAACCTGCGCCCCATGCAGTGGAAGCGTGGAGTCTTCACCGCTGGACTGCCAGGGAATTCCCACCCACCCCCTTTTTTTTTCTTTTAATGGAAGCAGTTTATCTTGGAGGTGATCCCAGGAATATACCTGTAAGGAGTGGCAACATGGGGCAGGGGGAGGAAGTCGATAATAAGTCAGTAAAAAAGGGTATGTTAGCAAGCAGGTTACCACTTAGGCAGCTTGGCTCCGTCCTACTGGTAACACTGGGAGACAGAATTATCCCACCTGACAAGCAAGGGAACTGGGATGTTTGTGTACCAACTCCCCATTCATCACTGGTGGAGGGTGTATTCCAGGGGTTTTGGCTTGCCTTGCACGTGGGCCCAGTGTGTGTCCGTGAGCAGAGAGATGCAGATAAGCAGTGAGCTGCCTTAGTCCTGGGCGGGTGCCCAGAGGATCAGCGCTTCTGCTACCGTGGGTCACACAGTCTAAAAGTAGGGATCCTTTTAGCTTCAGGAACCCTGAGACTTGATACCATCCACACTCTCCTCTGTGCTACTTGTCTTTGTTCACTCACGAACCTCTAGTCCTGGAATTGCTCTTGGCACACACACAGTGAGTGTTTGATAAATAGTTGTGGGCTGTATGACTTTCCCTTGGGCACCTGCATTATTCTTTCAGGCTTCTCCACTAAATGGGGGACGTGTCATTTTGATTGTGCAGTGAGGAATGACACGGGAAATTCTACAGTTAATGTGAAAATCCTTTCCCTCCCACGTGGTTGGAAACCTTTTTTATTATTATTATAGGTCATTTTATACCACCTGAAAAAGTACATGAAAAACTTTTTAGGGAGTGGCATATGCCATTTAAAAGGCCATCATATCCAGCAGTGAAACGGTATAATCAGAATCGGACACTTCTTCAAAAGCTACGGATGGAAGAACGATTTAAAAAGAAGGAAAAATCACTCAGGAAGAGATTGGCTAAGAAAGGAATTGATTATGACTTCCCTTCACTGGTAGGTATTGCTTTGTATAAAGTATCTAACCCAGTACTTTGATCCCATGCTAGGATTTGACTAAATTTTTGATACCCTGCATTAAAGGTTTGTCTCTGTAAGTTTGTCATAGCAATCGTATTATCTCCATTATACAGAAAAGGAAACTCCTGAAAGGGACTAGCTGATTTGCAACATTTACCTGATTTAGTAATTTTAGATTATTGAAGTTAAACCCTATTTGACCCAACACCATAATGCTTGTAGATTACTAGTAAAGGTGTCATTGCCAGAATTAAATGTTTGGTTTATTATATGTTATCAGTAAATATCAAGACTGTAAATTGACCATCCTTTTTATGCCATTCTAGTTAAAATTTTGTTTCATGGTCTTCTAAGTTGGAAATACTGCCAAAGTGTATGTCAGAATTAACCAGTAAGCATGAATTCTGTGGATTAAACGAGTGGGAGTTGAAATACAGGAAGGCTCCTTACATGCATGGGTTAACAGATTTTCATCCAGTTCTTACTTCATTGCTTGCTGAACAAGGAGACCTTGCTGAATATTTCCTCCCTCTTTCATAGTAAGGAGAGCTGTACATCTATAATTAAAAAACAAGAATGCAGGTCATTAGGGTGTGGATAGCATGGGTAAAGATCTTATTTTTATTCTTGACTATATCTTGAGATTGTTTTGGGTCTTCCATAGACCCTGTCGGCTTATTTCCAAAAAGTTAATTAGTTGGTAAGAGATGGTATCTATTACCAAGTTTATTAGGTCTTTAACCTTATCCAGAAACTGGAAGACCAAGTTGCTATCCTTGGGCCCAGTTCCTGGTTGGTTTTTTTTCTCCTTTCTGTTGTTGTTGCCTTTTTTTTTCCTTTTTTTCTTTTCTTTTTCATTGAAGTATAGTTGATTTACAATATTATATTAGTTTCAGGTATAAAACAGCGATTTAATATTTTTATCGGTTATACTCCATTTAAAGTATAAAACATTGGCTGTATTTTCCTGTGCTGTAATATATCCTTGTGGCTTTTTTATTTTATCTTATTTTATTAATAAATTTATGTATTTGTTTTTATTTTTGGCTGTGTTGGGTCTTTGTGGCTGCACGCAGGCTTTGTCTAGTTGCGGTGAGCGGGCTTCTCATTGCAGTGGCTTCTCTTGTTGCGGAGCACGGGCTCCAGGCGTGCAGGCTTCAGTAGTTGTGGCTCACGGACTCAGTAGTTGTGGTTCATGGGCTCTAAAGCGCAGGCTCAGTAGTTGTGGCACATGGGATTAGTTGCTCCGCGGCATGTGGGATCTTCCCAGACCAGGGCTCGAATCTGTTTCCCCTGCACTGGCAGGTGGATTCTTAACCACTGCGCCACCAGGGAAGTCCCATTTTATACATAGTAGTTTGTATCTCTTAATCCCCTACCCCTATCTTGCCCCTCCCACCTTCACTCTCCCCACTGGTAACCACTAGTTTGTTCTCTACATCTGTCTGTGTCTGTTTTGTTATATCTATTTATTTGTTTTATTTTTTAGATTCCGCATATAAGTGAAACATACAGTATTTGTCTTTCTCTGTCTTGTTTCACTTAGCACAATGCCCTCCATTCCATCAAATGGCAAAATTTCATTCTTTTTTATGGCTGAGTAGTATTCCATTGTATATATGTACCACATCTTCTTTGTCCATTCATCTGTCGATGGACACTTAGGTTGCTTCCATGTTTTGGCTGTAATAAATAGTGCTGCAGTGAACATTGGGGTGCATGTATCTTTTCGAATTAGTGTTTTCATTTTCTTTGAATGTATGCCCAAGAATAGGGTTTTTGGATCATACAGTAATTCTATTTTTAGTTTTTTAAGGGACCTCCATACTGTTCTCCATAGTGGCTGCACCAATTTATATTCCCACCGACAGTGTACAAGGATTCCCCTTTCTCCACATCCTCTCCAGCATTTGTTATTTGTGGTCTTCTTTTTTTTTTTCTGTTCACGCTGTGCGGCATATGGGATCTGAGTTCCCTGACCAGGGATTGAACCCATGACCCCTGCATTGGGAGCACAGAGTCTTAACCACTGGACAGCCAGGGAAGTCCCTGTTTGTGGTCTTTTTTATGATGGCCATTCTGACTGGTGTGAGGTGATACCTCACTGTGCCTGGTGGTTAATTCTTTGCCCAAATCCCAAACACAGCCTGTGTTGATAGATGTTAAAATAACATTATGTCACAGTTTGGGCCCTGGTACTCTTGTGATCCATTCAGGAGCTGGAGAACTGCTTTTCCTGTGCCCCGTCTGTTACCTCGTAGGAAGCAGGCTGCTGCGTTCACAGTCCTGGACTTAAGCAGGACAGACCTTCTCCAGGGCCTGCCTTTTCACGTTCATCCTGGCTCCCCACTTCCTGACGCAGGATTCTCTGGCCAGCTCCAGGTTCTGGGCCTTCACTTCAGCCTCTGCAACTTCTGCCTGCTCTTCAGTTAGGCCCCTTTTGTAGTTTTGCCCTTAAGATCATTCACTGTATTTTTGGATTTTGCTTTTTAAATTGAAATGCTCCAGGGACTTCCATGATGGTCCAGTGGGAAAGAATCTGCTTTCAATGCAGAGGACTCTGGTTTGATCCCTGTTCGAGGAACTAAGATCCCACATGCCGCGGGGCAACTAATCCTGCACGCCTCAATTAGAGAGCCCGTGTTCCGCAAGCTACAGAGCCCACGCACTCTGGAGCCTGCGCGCCACAACTAGAGAGAGAGAAGCTGCACACCACGACTAGAGAGAAGCCTGCACGCCGCAGTGAAAGATCCCGCATGCTGCGATGAAGATCCTGCGTGCCGCAGCTAAGACCCAATGCAACCAAAAATAAAATAAATAAAATAAATAAATAAATAATATTAAAAATAAAAAAAGGCTTCCCTGATCCCCATATAAACAAACAAACAAATAAATAAATAGAAATGCTCTGTCATAGAATTTGTTCATAATATGTATAAGGATCTAGTGGTAAGTTTTAAAATGTACTCTGCTAGTTTACAACTTCTTTATGTTTACTTATGTTAAGGTCTTACATAAAAATGAAGAAAATGCTTCAAACACTGGTCCTCGAAATTCCAGAAAACACCAGGTAAAACTTGATCATATTACTTACCAGATATTAGAGAAAGATAAATGGGGAAATACATTCAACACTACTATAGCTGATAAATATGCAGATTGATGAAGTCTCTTAAATTTATTTAAGGCTTTACGTAAGAAGAAGAAAAAAGCGGCTTTGGTCACTCCCAACACTCCTGAGAAGACTGTGGATAGCCAGGTAAGATCGTCTTTAGAATTTTGGGAATCAGAAACTAAAATTTAAAAGAGGAAAAGCAGTTGCTGCTACTGTCACTTTGCTAAAATTTCATTTAATCTTGGGACTTTTGGGTAAATCCTTACTGATGATTTAGCAGGCGTAGTAGAGTCTTCCACCAAATACTCTGTCGTGGAACATATCACATCCATTAATTGTGAATTTTCATAGTAAGTGTGATAAGCACCTAAGCTCTTGATTATGTGCAGCTGTGTCACCAAAAGATGGTAACAGGCCTAAAATAATATGCATAACTTTTTTTTTTTTTTTTTTTTTTTTTCTTTTTCTTGCGTTATGCGGGCCTCTCACTGTTGTGGCCTCTCCCATTTGCGGAGCACAGGCTCCGGACGCGCAGGCTCAGCGGCCATGGCTCACGGGCCCAGCCGCTCCGCGGCATGTGGGATCCTCCCGAAACGGGGCACGAACCCGCGTCCCCTGCATCGGCAGGCGGACTCTCAAGCACTGCGCCACCAGGGAAGCCCCGCATAACTTTTAATAAGAGAGGGGAGGTGATGGGGGCGGTCTTTCCTAACATCTTCCCACATTCATGTATTATAATCTTTAACTTGTTGAACCCAGGACCCCACGCCGGTTTGTACACCAACATTTTTGGAGAAACGAAAATCTGAAGTGGCTAAAATGAATGATGATGATAAAGATAATGAGATAGTTTTCAAACAGCCCATATCTGGTGTAAAAGAAGAAACAAAAGACACTCAGACGCCTACAAGTTCAAGGAAGAAAAGACGAAAAAAAAGCACCCAGTAATTCTGAATGTATTGTGTATGGTTGTTGTTCTGAAAAAGGTGATTTTATTATGGAGGCTGATTCTTTGTATTTAACTAGATAAGGTGGAATGCAATCAGTAACAAGATGGTTGGAGAAAAAAACTGTCGAGTCAACAGGGAGAGCAGTCAGTGATTTTGGCTTCCCCGCCCTCGCAGAAATGCAGGGGTGAGCACCAGCTCACAGCAGCCCAGCTCACGCTGCCTGTGCCCTGTCTCTACGGCTCTCTTCAGCTTTCATAGCTGCCTTTAGTTGCTCTGCCTGGGTAGCTTAAGTACTAGGCTGTAGCCTTTGTCGTTACCATCAAATAAAGAAAATAAAATCTTTACTGAGTGACCGTGTAAGTGGTTCTCTGTTAGACCCATCAGATGGCTGAAACTGGACATTAAATTGTATAAAGGGTGAGAAGGCAGCATCACTATTAATAGGGATTCATTTATGTATATGTGATCATTTTTACCAATGTTAAGTTAGTTTGGGGTGGGATAGCATGGATTAATTAATGACTACATCCTGTATCAGTGTCATCAATCTGGAATTAGACTTTAAGATTCAAGCAGTGACCGCCAGGTAAACTTTTTCTATATTTTTTTTGTATGCCAGGGGGACTTGGGTGTCTTGAAGTAAAATTGCTGGTTTTCGCCTTTTCAACTATCTTTAAGTTTCTGATGCTCTTGAAATATGCTTTTGTATCAGCTAATTCAGGTTCATTAAAAACATCCATTGCCACCAAACATTTTTTTCATCTAATACGTGTTAAATACTTACTCTTATAAGATACTGGGCTGGGTGAGTTGGGTTTAAGTATATACAAAGAGCGTGTTCTACCTCTGGGATAGTCCCTGACGTGAAGAGTATGCTCGCCCTGTGTTCACTGGGCTACGTGTGTATCAGAACTGCCTCCCTCTTTGAACAATGTCTGAACTTGTCGATCTGCAAGTCCATCTGGTGTCCCCTTCTGGGAAAGCAGCAGGTAAGCTCATCAGTGCAGCCTGTCGGGTTTTGAATAGTTCCCGGTTCCCGACCTACAACCCGGCCACCCCAGTGCGGCATGGTACCACCTATCATCACTTGACGCATGCTGTGCCCTGGAGCCGGGAGAGAGTGATTCCATCTTGAGCATATATCGCGGCAATGGATATTTCCTACAAGAAACAGAGTTGAAGTTAAAGAATGTTTTCCTGGGGACTAGGTTAGGATGTTCAGAAGAAGTAGCGTGGGTTTGATTTTCATATTTTGTGGGGAGAAAATCGTGAATCGAGCGGAAACCCCATGGGCCAATAAAATATGAAACTTTGCAGTATGTGGGGTAAGTAAGGTAAAGAGGATACAATTCAAAACTACATTCAGAATGACCACAAGTATGTAAAATAGCATTCTTTAAATAGGAAGTTAAACATCAAAATTCTAATTTGGAAACAAGCATCTGTTGCTTTTATATATAGTCATTACAAAAAGCTGTAGAGGAAAAATGCATTATTCCACAGACAAGATTCAGTTTGGAGCCAGACATTTCACATGCTGTGTCATATTTGCCCTGAGATGGGGCAGCAAGTGAATAAATGCTTGACATGGTGAGAAAAGAGGTTTTCTTTTGCTAGCATTATTTGGAATACAGTGTGGCCATATCCAGGGCAACTGATTGCTGTGACTGGAAATTGTCACCCTTGCTGACCGTATGCTCATATGAACTCCAGTCTCAGTGTGATACAGCAAAGGCTGTGGAATGATTGACACAAGGTAGGCGAGATAGGACAGCTGTCCCCATGCAGTGGCTGTGATGCCAGTGGCTGCATCTCCTTAGGACCACAAGTGTGATACATGTATGTACATAATTCTGCATTTTCTGTAGGCGGAAATAATCACGTGGCTTAAACCTAACTATGCCGTAGGTCATCCTGTGGACCACAAGGCAATTGACTACTGGGTCGAAGCCCGACCTGCTGCAGAGTTTTGTTTTACATTTTTTAATGGTTGAAAAAAATCTAGAAGTAAATTTCACAGAGTTCCCTGGTGGCCTAGTGGTTAGGATTCTGGGCTTTCACTGCTGTGACCCCAGGTTCAATTCTTGGGGAATCGAGATCCCACAAGCCCCCAGCCAAAAAATAAAGTAAATTTCATAGCACGTGAGAATTCTATGAAATGTGAATTTCAGTGTTCATGGATAAAGATTTATTGGGTCACAGCCATGTTTATGTACCTACTGCCTGTGTATGGCTGCGTTTGTGCTAGAAGAGTTTCGTTGTGATAGAGGCCGTGAGTGGTCCCTCCATTCTTAGTACTCCTGCTGGCTGCAGTACAAATTGCAGTGCCGTGGTTTTAGCTTGACACACTTTGCCACGTGTATCGTGGTACCATGAATTTTGTGTATTTTTAACCAGTGCATACCCATCATGTCAAAACAAGAAGAGAAGGTGGACTTCGACTATCATACTTCAGCTTGTGGTGGAGTGTGGGTTATTTTATTAAATTAGATTGGCAAAGCATCGTGTCTGTTTTGCAGTGACCCTCCAACTGTGCTTAAAAAATACAATATATGTTGACACTACCCAGCCAAGTACCCATCACAGTATTCCCAACTCAGGAAAGCAACAGCTAGAAGAAATAGAATTTTTAAATGGAGTATCTCAGCACACGATTTCTCGATCCCCCCCAAAAATGAGAATGAGACTGTAATTAAAGTTTCCAAGTGGCTTATTTGATAGGCAAGCAAGGAAAGCCTTTTACCAATGACAAGGTAATTGTGTCAGATTGCAGCAGCTGAAGAAATGGGTCCAGATAACATAAACGTTTAAAGACTCGGCCGTTTAGCAAGAACAGTTGCTTGAATAGAGGAAGCAACGTGAGTCCGTTTAAAAACAAGGCAAATTATTTCAAATGTTTCTCCTTGGCTCTTGATGAGTTAAAAGATGTTCCCAATACTGCTCATCTGAATATTATTCAAAAAGAAGTCCTCGCCAAGTTTGATGGGCAAGCATGACCAACTCAGCCTGGTTTGCCCAGAACCTTTCTGGGTGTAACCCTGGACGTCCCACATTGTGGGAACCCCCTCAGTCCAGGGCTCACATGGAGAGTTTACCACCCTAGAAATGACGGAAGCATTAGCCTCTCTGGGTAGTCTGTATGGAACAACTATAAGCAAAAATATTTTCACAGATGAGAAAAAATTCAGTACAACCTGGAGTGGAATCTTCCACCATGTGCCACAACCAATGGTGGTATAAAAATATGTGTGAAACAGAAAAAGGCTTAGTTAGACAAACATACAGTTTGTGAAAGCAAAGTGTTTAAAGCCTGTTGTATTATTGTGTTATTCACCAGCAAGTACTTAGAAAATATGTATGTGAACATAAGATGCTAATTTTACTGTATGTTAATTTTTAAAACTATATAAATTTCTAAAATTAAAGAAAAATATGTGAATCTATCCTGTTGCTGAACCAATAGTGTCACTGGTGTACTTCATTTGTTGTGGCCTTAGCCATCATCACTTTGTTCCGTGAGTTTTTTGATAGAAATAGAGGTTAAAGTCCTGACTTGACCTCACACACAGCAGTTTGATGGCTTAGCTGTGTTAAAGTTTTACTGAGACTCTCTGACTTCACCACCAAGATTGCAAAATCCTGAATGAGAATAACCAATCTCTACCGTCATGGAACGCTGAATGGCTTTGGAAATTAAGTTTTGCTGAAGACTTGATGTTTCTTAATGAATTTAAGTCAGTGAGTTCAACTAAGAATTAAAAGTCAAAGCACCATGTATATTCAAAACTTATTGGTGCTAAAGTCACTTCGATCACAACTAACACTTAAACACAAGAAATGTGCTGCTGCTTTATATACTTGCTGTGCTGTCAAAAGTTAAAATGAAGTGAGATCTCCATACCCACACAAATTTGCAGCAGATATAGTTTCCAGCCTCAAATTACAGTTCCAGCAGTGTTTTTCAGACCTCAATACAAGTGCAAAGGAAATCTATTCCAAAATCCTAACTGGATTAAATTCTGTGGGATGGATGGCCTGCAGCCATCTTTCAGCTGAAGGTAATTACCTGCAATGTAATGAATGACGTGCTAAAGGGCACATGTCAACACGAAGCAGAGAGAATTGTACAAATGCCTTCAAAGTGAGGAATATACTCAAAATCAAATGTGTGGGGATTGATCTCAGTACTTGACAGTACCTATCTGTGTGAAAAATCATTTCAGAAGATGAAATACATAAAATATGATTACAGATCAACATTAAAAAACGAACATTTGCAAATGACTTTGATCATAGGAAACAGTAACTTGACACCTTCTGTGAAACCTAATTCAAAATGTATCAAAGGACTTCCCTGGTGGCGGCAGCGGTTAAGAATCCACCTGCCAATGCAGTGGACATGGGTTCGAGCCCTGGTCCGGGAAGATCCCACATGCCGCAGAGCAACTAAGCCCATGCGCCACAACTACTGAGCCTGCGCGCCTAGAGCCCGTGCTCTGCAACAAGAGAAGCCACTGCAGTGAAAAGCCCGCGGGCTTTTAATTAATTTAAAAAAAAATATCAAAGACCTAAGTGTAAAACATAAACTAGAAAACGGAATCACTTTGCTGTACACCTGAAACTAACAAAACATTGTAAATCAACTATACTCCAATTTAAAAAAAGTTAACCTATGGCCTGGGTGAAAATATTTGCAAAGGACTTTTTTCTAGAATAGAAACAAAACAAGACAGCTCAAATTGTCTTATGGAACCCAATTTCTGCCTTCTGACCGTAAAATGGAAAGTAATACAGACTGTTTTCTTTTTTTTTGCCTTACCATGCGGCTTTCGGGATTTTAGTTCCCCCACCAGGAATTGAACCTGGGCCACTGCAGTGGAAGAGCCAAGTCCTAACCACTGGACCACCAGGGAATTCCCCAGACTATTTTCTTCTTCTTTTTTTTTAATATTAAAAAAAATTATTATTTATTTTGGCTGTGCTGGGTCTTAGTTTTGG